GAGCAGCGTTTGGTATGATGCTGCTGTGCGCTCGTTTGGAGCGCGGCCGAATCTCAACCTGACAATGAGCAGAATCGTGATGCTAATAAGTAATTTAGTGTTGGCCATAAGGCACGCAACTGAGGGGTCACTTGGTTAGCTGATATAGACGCCGAAAAAACAAGGGTGGCCATCATAGGGCACCTTACCGTACTGCCGACGCTGTGACCTAGCTATGCTGCTTAAAAACGAGGGGGCCTCAATGATTTTGAACCTGTAAAGAAAAGTCTGGTTGCAAAATGGTTGTTGTAGAAAGGGTGGTTTTGATGCCTAATTTTATATGCACCGCTCTTGTTTAAGCTTGGCATACACTAGGTAGATGTACCCCAGACCACGTAACAGGCTTCGCGATATCGCACGAAACACTGTAACGCTGCGACGCACCTGGCATACATCTGCTTGGGCCTGCGGCGCTGACACCCGAGTCGGGCAAAAGACAGAGTCGTAAATAGGGCTTCGGCCCCAAAGTGACAAATCCTGCTCCCCAGGGTTTTATTTTAACGAGTTGACCCATCAGAACCATAAAATAGCAAATAAATAATTGTCACTAATTCTTGGTTATTTTTCGTTTAATCTTCAACCCTAACAGAACTGACCACTGCGCCAGCGGCTGAAAAAGAAGAGCAAATAAAGGTAAGAAAACAATTTTTAGGCCCGCGATTAGCGGTGCCTATTGCTTTCGCCCGAAAGTTTTGTCTTTTTATTCTTGACGATGGCCCCTTATGGCACAGCCCATCGTGCCTAAGTGAATTTCATGAAATTTGAATGAAAGATACTACAGAAAATTGGAAATTTTTTGAGGTATGTGTAATGCAATTTTGTCTGATAAAATTTGAGAAATTCGAGTTTGCATCCACTCGTTTCCATGGAAATGACGAGCTGAGCAGCAGGCCGAGTCGAGCCAGGGAAATTTTGACCAATCACAAGTTTGCGCGGGAAAGTTCAACCAATGGGATCGATCGCCTGTTGCTTTGTACAACCCTACCCAAAAACGATTTGGCCCTGGCGTCGATTCGGTGGTCGCGTTTAAATAATACTATCGTGCCTCTGTGTATGAAGATGCAACACAGACGCCGTTTTGAACGCGGCCGCTGAGCGCCAGCCACGGCTTTGATTGTTGGCTGGGAGTGTAGTTCCGCCTTGTAATAATTTCGTTTTAAAAGGGGCGGAAAGTATACTGATGCAGCCAACCTATAACGGAAAATATATATTATGTTTTTACCTTATTTAAGATTATAAGTGTCAACATACAATATAGAACACGTCTAAATGTGTACGTGTTTTTAATATATTAAACACTTATCAGTGATCTCTTATCTGACGCTGTGTTAGTAACATTTTAAAAAAGTTCACGTTCCTTGTCGTGAATGTCATGGCGGTGTTCATTTGAGCAAGCTAGCTTGGCGAACGATCAGCATACTAAACTTTGAAATATTTCTAATAGACAAATTGTTTAGAATTTTCAGTGTACAGGAAATTTACCACCGTACGTATAAATATTTTTAGTAGATCATTTAATTAAATCTGATCTACATAAGTTTTTTAGATATTTGGCTGCAGTGTACATCAAAATCAGTAACTACCAATGTAATGAATCATTATATATACATGCCAATGTTCACGTCAAAATCTAAGGGGGCCGTTAACGCGTTAGCGTTAGAATTTTTTACCATTGAAACTACATATATTCCTGTACACGACGCCACGCTAGTTGTTGCGATAAATATCAAACACGCCTCAGATGTAGTGCAAAGATGTCGTGCCTCTTCACAACGCGGTTGTGAACAAATAACAAGTTGCAAGGTGTACCAAATGAATTTTCTACATAATTAATCTGCTCGTTCTTTACGGAATTTGGTTTTTTGCTTGCCAGGGCACGTTGTTTATGGTTTTGTGCATGTAGCGCCTGCAAACCAGTAGGTAAGGGGCTGTCCATAAACCACGTGGACACATTTTGGGCAC